GATAAAAGGAAAAATATCAATTTCACCGTTTGTTTACTTGCTTAGAACCAAAATATTATCCCGTGTATTCGAACAATACATGAATTGGGAAACATTTTTGATAAAACCGTAAACAGAAATATATCTAAATTAGGTATATTGTACGGTATATTTTATTGATGTACCTTCAGGTTCTCCTAAATCTCCAAGAAATCGATTCTCTTGCTTATGCTCGTATTATACAAAATGATTTTTAATTAATTAATCTGATAAAATCATATTATTATAGGAAAACTGAAAATGATGTAATTATTTCCCTTTTTTATGTTTGTTTTCGTCCAGTATCTAGCAAGGGGGGGTTAGAGACAGCTTTAAACAAAATGGAAGAGGTGTTGACAAAACAGTATTGTATGAAATTTAATAAATTTAAAACAAAAATTTTGGTTTGGAGAGTAGAGAAAGAGCGAATATAAATATAGGAGACGAAAAATTAGAAGAAGTGACTGATCGTTGGTATCTAAGAAGTCAGATAATTAAGGACGAAAGGAACAGTAGGGATATAAAGCAGAGGATAGCGCAGAGTCGAGTTGTCTTCAATAAATAGAAGCTATGCTTGCGAGCGGTTAATTTAGAAATTTGAAAGAGATTGTTAAAGGTGTTTGTTTGGAGCGCGGCGCTATACGGGTGCGAAACATGGACGGTGAATGATGAGGATACTGTGGATAGAGAAGGTTAGAAATGAAGAGGTATTGAAAAGAATAGGAGAACAGAGGACTCTATGGAAGTCAATAAAAAGATGCGTGTCCAACCAGTCTTAGGACTGACGGCCTTATGATGATGATAATGTTTTATACGGTATGGCTTATATACAAAATGTAATAGAGATATTCGCTTTTAGATGGCGATTTCCTAACTATTATCTATATACTTACGTATATTCTAGAAGAGAGTCTCCATAAAATTTGTTCACTTTGAGGAGTACAATTGGTTCGAAGTTTGCCCAAGTTCCGGTTATAGCAGATACAGTTTCCGTCGAAAAGTTTTGCCGCGGCTTGTATTATTTGCCGCCCGATCCGGTAGGAAAATGTATTACACAATAATTAAATTCCGTTTCTGCCGCATTCATACTAAATGCGGTTGCTATGACACGACAAAATTGTACGCGCGTTTAAATTATGGCGGGGGATCCCATGGTGATACAAATATACACCAACTATTTAAATACAGCACACGTGCGTCTCCCCACACGTTTCTACCCTCATCGCTCCAACCACTACGTAGTAGTATTACTTCGATTGCCGCACGTCTACCCTGATGAAAATTATCATGATATTCAATCAAAATACACATATATTATATAATTAGTCATACCAATCAGTAGAATACAACTATAAATATTTATTCGTACTGATTAGAATTAGTAAATTTCTGGTACAATCCCTTGCAAATAAATGAAGATGGTGTGAAAATTCCTGTCGGTTTTTATAATTGTTTAATATTATAATGTAGCGACGCTTTAGGTTGANCAAGAAATACTTATGGAAGTCTAAAGTATAAGTTACTCTCTAAGAGGTCAGCGTCAAACTTTTTTGAACGAACGGTTAGTCGATAAGGGTCTAATCCAAGCATCAAATGTTTTACAAAATGAGAATTTAAACAACTTAAGCTATTTACCTAACTAAAATTTACTGCAAAAAGTAACTCGATTTTCAATGAAATTATTGTACAAAGGTAAAGTTGTAAAATGCATTTAGAAAAATTAAGTAATGTGTAATTTAAAATAAAAATACTTCATTCAATTTAATTATATTGTTTTTTAAAATTACATTTTGTTAATAACTTCAAATACATTACCTTACGTCTCTAATAGCAATTTTTTCCAGTATAATGTTAGGTAAATTGTAATGTAATTGTTATGCTTTAACTAAATTAAATCAATTGCATTATTGATGGCAGAATTGGAGTTGTAATTTTGAAATGTTTGCTATAATTGCTACCACTATTCGAAAATGATAAACCAACAAAACTGCCATTTTATTTTAAAGGCTATAAAAGTTTTAGTTGATGTACGAGTTCGGTTTGTCGTTACATTAATGTGTTATGGTAATTATCATATATGCAAACGTCTACTTTGGAGTGAATATGGCACAATTATATAGTGGTTGTATTCAATGGTCATGCTGTGTTGGACATAATATTCAGAGTGACATATCCTGTGACCTATTTAGTCTGTAAGGGGTTACTTTCAGTAGGTATTGTTGCCAACAATAATCATATTGTTTTAAACAATAGCCAACAGGTTTACATTTACCGGTTCCGACAGGTAAGGGGAAAACAAATGGGGTGAATTATATACACTATCCATTTTGATATTCTATTCCTTTCTACAGTAGATACTTGAGTGTTAAGGATATTCAAGGTTACTGCTTCCCAGTTAAATATATAGCAAAAATAACTTGTTAATATATTGCAGGTAGTAACTTTATTGAACACTGTTACTATTATAACGAACGGTTAATTAGAAATTCGAAAGAGCACGCCGCTGTACGGGTGCGAAACATGGACGACGGTGGGCGCGGCGGTAAATAAAAGGTTAATATCTTTCAAAATGTGGTGTCACAGGCGAATGTTGTGAATACCGAAATAGAAGGTTAGAAATGAGGAAGTATCAGAAGGAATAGGAGAACAGGGGACTCTATGGAAGTCAACTGGTGGGACACTTTCTTAGGGATTATCAGAGACATATTAGAGGCAGAAACAAGAGTAGGGTAGATCTAGTTTAGATTACTGTTCGCAAATAGTTAAGGAAATGCGAAGATTAGATCAGGATATGAAAGAGTGAAGGAGCGTGTCCAACCAGTCTTAGGAATGACAACCTTATAATGATGCTAAGCCTACGACGCTTGACCTTAGAATTTTTAATTAATAATATTATAACCTACGCTAGAATGTTATTTTAATTATAATAAATATCAAAGAACCGAATGGCCTAGTCCTGTGAATGAAAATTGCGCCGTTTAAAGAGAAGGTAGTCAAGAAGGACGAACTTAAGTTTTAACTAGTTGATACTTATTCCTACGGTATATGAGATAGTACGAAAAGAAAAATTATTGTGCCTGGTAGAAAATTCGCTCACAATATACATAAAATAATGAATCATCATCTTGAGTGTGTAGTGAAATGGAATGAGAAGTGATTTTTTCTGGTTAAAAAGCATTCTTATTGAAGGAGTGAGTTTTCAATAGTAGCTGATAGCATCTTGCGATAAAAAATTTAAGCTGTTCACGACAGAAAATTCGAGATCACCATTTGTGACGATAATGCCTAAACGCGGAAATTTTCTTAGAGTAGAGCGGGCCACGGGTACATAAGGAGAACCGTAAAAATTCACGCGTTTTGTGCTGTAAGGATCAAGGACCACTTAGGGACGGGCACTTTCGTCCTGCGAGCTTAACAATTTTATGGTATAGATTCGCCGATTTCTTTAAAACGTTATTCTCAGTTTGTTGGTCCAATTTATCAGCTAAAAGTCAACACCACGACAGAGTTATTTTTCTTCCGGAAATATTTCCCGATTCTCAAGTAAATTCCTTTTACCCAGTTTTTGTTGTCAACAAATTAAATTCCTTTGCTTTCAAACTAATCGATTAGGGTGCTGGTACTTAACTTTTCTTACATTTACTTTACCTCTCACACTTCATCTGACGCAGCCAATCGCCTTTAAAATTTAATACGCCTGAAATTTTTTTAATTTTTTTTTCTCAAACTAAAAGAATATGGAAAATGAAAATGCAATTGTGTTAAACCGATAAGGTAATATAACAATCTAGCATCATGCAGTACATAATACCACTATAAGAAAACTAGAAAGCATTTTAAAGTAGAAGAATGAAGATTCAGACTGGTGATGATAATAATGTTGATAGGGAAATGTCTGGACGTGGCTGTTGATTTTAGTCACAGCCCATTAGACTCAATCTTTATTCTACTACGCAAAGGTCCATGTTCTATCACTTAAATGGCTTTTCTGTTGGACAATACCAATAGGAAAATATTTACAATCCGGTGAAGCAGCTGTTAAGTCTTATATATCCATAGGTCGTTAGTTCATATCCGGCTCGAAGGACCAAAAGATTAAAACATATAATCATTTGTAATGTAATCTAGTCTAGATCTAAATCTGCTCCTCTTAATTCCTGTTTCTGCTTCTAATATGTTTCTAACTTACCCTTCATGTCCTTGAAGGTGCACTGAAGATAAATTATAGTTTTGTTGTTTATTGATTAAGTAAGTTCTTTTAAAGATAATTTCCTTTTGGTTGAGGAAGTGCTTTTCCTTTTGAAAGTGGTAAGTAGCGTGATTTGAAGCGTAACAGTGGTAAAGAGTAATAACTAAGGGCGCGCGGGATAGAAAAGAGAAGGACAAAGCTGATACTGGAGCAAGCAGAAAAGGTAGCAAGTATGCCATTTGAATGACGTTCTTAAGGGTGTTTTTTGGAGCCGAGGGACTCAGTTCATTAAAGAGTGAAAAGTATTTCCATCACAGGTAGCAGACGAGAGGGGACGAATTTCTGGAACGCGGTGGTTAATTACAGATGTCGAACACGATGTGAAAGCAAAAGTGTAAAAGTAACAGACGTGAAGCGTTTTCTGTCGTCTCTGCTTCGGTACCTTTTAGAAAGTCAGAGTGCCCCGAATACATTTGATTTATTATACACACATATTTTAAAAAGAGGTTCATTTTTAGCGGGATATCTCCCGGTTCGCAAGCTAATATATATAATACATTGAAAGCCGGCGGAATTCTTTATTCTGTTTGAGGCCAGCGATAACGTAAGAGGTCTGTCTGCATACGAAAATAAACCAGGCTCGGACTCGATCTATTTTACCCTACCCCAAACCCATAAATTACTTAAAACATTTTTACCATCAAAATTCAATACCTAATCGAAGATATTCTTATTTAGTGCACCAGGAATGCTAATGGACCTTTCTTTCCGTTACTATTACTGAAAACTAATTGAAACTTTCTTTTAATTAAGGATCTAAAATTCATCGTACCAGCTACATCCAACAAGTCTAGTCTATTAATTAAACTGCAGGTGAAGGTAATCAAAGGAATATATTTATAAAATATCATCTACAAGGATATGCAAACTCTTTTATTGAATACCTAGTTAATAATTTTAATGGAAAAGTTTATAGATACATCCTTCTTTTCTTTCCAGGAAAATGAATCTTAGGCAATGCGGTAATGAGGATTGAAGATGGAAACTACCGAGTTCAACAGAAGAATTGGAAGATCCTTTTGGTTTTGCTTCGTCCCCATTCTCTATTATCTTGGTAAGCCGCTGTTTTTAAGTAACTGAAAACCATCATATTTTGCTTCGATAAAATATTAACTTACATTTTATATGCTTCTGTCCGTTTCAATTTTTAATTTTAAAACGTCTCGTCTGGTCTTGTAGGCAATTACATTAGGCTTATGCACTTAGCGAATATGACAGATGAATTTGTACATTTATATTCAAAATTAAATGCACTTGGTGTAGTTCGTGTGTATAATAATGAGGTGGCGCTAGCAATCGGATAAGCAGTGTACATGCTGAACTGTTTCGCAAATCTGTAATCCGTAATGAATACTGCTGATACTAAACAACAAAATCTTTTATTGTTCTTCACGCGTCACCATTTGTTAGGTATCTACCTACGCCAAATATGTTGCTGGAGATTTATAACAGATTTTGAAACAATCGAGTACGAACTTTGTTCGGAATTTCTCTGCAGTTAAATTTTGGATCAATTATGTACGGAGATTGAATTTTAAAAGTTTTCTGCTTGTTGCATTCCTCATTCAACTTCCGAAAGGGAGATTTATTGCACTTAAAACTAATCCACACAGAAGCGATTTAAAAGGGGTTTTCTTAAATATGCTTTCAATAACTGTGAGGGGTTGCATTTTAATAACTTTATTCATCGCCCAGACTATATTGCATTGTACATACTATCGGGTTGTTCGGAAAGTCATTTCGTTTTTTTGCCGACAGAGGATTTAATTGTATTCTTTTGCACCCAACTTCACATTTAAGCCGTATAATTTTTATATGCTTGTGTGTGAAAAATTCCAATTAATTCTACGCAGTAGTTTTTGGTTGGTGCCCTTTTAAATATGGAGAGCGATAAGCAGCATTTTCTGCAAATCTTACTGTTTTACTACAGAAAGGGTAAAAATGCTGTTCAAGCCAGAAAGAAATTGACTGATGTGTATGGAGAAGGTGTGTTGACAGTACGCCAGTGCCAGAACTGGTTCGCTAAATTTCGATCCGGCAATTTTGATGTCG